TGGATCTCCACCTGTAGAAGAATGAAACTAAACCCCTATCTCTCACCTTGTACAAAAGTCAATTCCAAATGTATCAGAGTTTAATGTGAAGCCTGAAACTCTGAAACTGTTAGAAGAAAACATTGGCAATAACCTACAAGATATAGATGTAGGAAAGGATTTTCTAAACCAGACACCAACTGCCCAGGAAACAAGGTCAAGAATCAACAAATGGGACTTCGTTAAACTAAAAAGCTTTTGTATATCAAAGGAGGCATTCAGGGAAGGGAAGAGAAAACCTACAGAATGTGAGAAAATCTTCACCAGCGACACATCTGACAGAGGTTTAACATCCAGAATATATAACGAACTCAAACAGAATCAAGAAAGGAGGTAACCCAATTAAAAGATGGGCTAAGGACCTGAACAGAGAGTTCTCAAAAGGAGAAATAAAGATGGCTAAGAAGCATCTTAAAAGATGTTCAACATCACTAGTAATTAGGGAAATGCAAATTAAAACCACTTTAAGATTTCATCTTACCCCAGTCAGACTAGTAAGATCAAAAGAACAAATGATACCAAATGTTGGAGAGGATGTGGGGAAAGGGGAACACTTATCCACTGCTGGTGGGGCATCAAACTTGTTCAACCCCTATGGAAAGCAGTGTGGAGAATTCTTAAACTACAAATGAACCTACCATTTGACCCAGTTATACCATTCCTTGGCATATACCCAAATAACTCATCCTATTGCAGGGACACTTGTACATCTGTGTTTGTTGCTGCTCTTTTCACAATAGCTAAGAGATGGAAGCAACCTAAGTGTCTCTCAACTGACGAGTGGATAATGAAAATGTGGTTCATTTATACGATGGAGTTTTACTCAGTAGTAAAGAAAGATGAAATCATGAAATTTGCAGGTAAATGGGTGGAACTAGTAACTTATTCTAAGTAGAAGTAACACAGACTCAGAAAAAAACAAAACAAAACAAAAAAACTACGTATGTTCGCTCTCATGGATCCTCGCATCAAATCCTGATAAGTGAGTATGTATCCAGACATAACGACAGGAACCAGAATAATGAAGAGGAACCAGGGAGATAAAGGAAAAGAAAGAATCTGAAAGAGAAGAACAGATATGGATAAAATTTGGGTTAGTTTAAGGGAGGGGGAGGGAAGGTTATACAAGGAATCTATGGGATAAAGGGAAAGAAGGAGCTCAAGGGAGGTAGGACCATAGGAGAAGGGTATTATTAAGGGAGAAATGGGGAAAATGGGGGCACTTTAATTGGGGAAACCATGATGGAAGGGTTAGACAGTGTGAGAGAGAAATTCTGCCTAGCTAGTTTTAAAAACCAGAAGGAACCATATTAGTCCAACAACCTACTGGCAAATTATACATACCAGATCAAGAAATATTATGTCTAGGCAAAGTTTATCTGAGAACAGTTGGTCTTTGCCCAAGATCTATCTACATGGCACACAGTAATTAAAAGTGCCAGACTGGTGGAACTAACCTTCTTGGATGTTTAACAGACATACTTTGAGGCCTATACTGATTTGGTCAGAGGGACATAAAGGACAGTTTTTGCTCCTTGCCCTCCTAGGTCGACTAGTTCCAGGGGACTATAAGCAGCTCTTAAAATGTCCTGTAACTGTGGTGAGTCACCTGTCCTCTTGATCAAGGAGGCCGTGGAGACCCCACAAGACGGACCTGAACCAGTGTGCAGTCTACAAAGAAGAGGATCAACGCAGAGGAAACATTTCTTCCATGCTTCCAAGCGGAGCCAGCCATGGTCGAACAGGACCTTTGACTTACCTTCTCATAAATGGAACTGGTAAAAGAAAGGAGCCAGGGGCTCCTCCCAAGCCCATGTGACCCCTGAGGAACAGATCCTCAAACTGCCTTAAGAGTAAAAGTAAATTGGTTTATCTGGACCAACTGTATGGCCTTAAACATCCAAAAAGGAAAGTATAACCAAAGATTAAAGACATCAACATAGTATCTTAAGAGTCCATTTGCATAGCTAAAGGCACTTATCTAAAGGAATATTGACAACTGATTGCTGCTAGATGAGGAACACCTGACCTTCCTGAAACAAAGACCTCTAGATAGGCTGACTAGATTCACCAGATGGACAAGTACTGGGGAATGGCTGGGGGTGCTGATACCATAGCAGACAGTAGCAGGGAATACAGAGTAAAAGGGCTGGGTGGGGGGGGGTGCTATGGGAGGGTGCCATCTGGGAAGTAGGTATATAGATGAATAAGATTGTTTGGGATGTACTGTGTGATATACACACAAAAAAATCAACAAAATAGTTATTTTGAGGAGGAATCATAAAAATTTAGGTCATGTTAAGTAGTAGAGGTGATAAACATTACCATTGAAATCTACCTGATGACTTTATAGACATACATAGGTGCCAAGGATCCATGCAACTGACCATGACTAGTGTGCTGGATAGCTTTAGTGTCAACTTGTCACACCTGGATTGGGGGAGCCTCATCTGGGGAATTGCCTCTATTGGACTGGCCTGTGGCCATGTCTGAGGGGCATCTTCTCGATGAGTGATGTGGGAGGGCCCAGCCCACTGTGGTTGGTGCTATCCCTGGGCAGGTGGGCCTGTGTTGCATAAGAAAGCAGGCTGAGCAGGGGCCAGCGGAGCAAGCCAGTAAGCAGCGTTCCTCCATGGCCTGTGCTCCAGCTCCTGCCTCCAGGTTCCTGCCCTGAGTTCCAGCCTTGGGCTCCCAGATGAACTGTGATCCGGCATATCTAAGCTGAATAAACCTTTTCCTCCCCAAGCTGGTATTGGTCAGAGTGTTTTGTCACAGCAGTGGAGAGACAAACCAGGACAACTAGTAATAATCAGATATATACAGATTAGAGACTCATCGCCAACCTTTAAGTGTTATTAGTAAAAACAATGAGTCTTTCTGTAAGAAACTATATTTTAAAATGAAATAGAGATCTTTTTTAAAGGTTAAAGACTCATTCAATATTATGTCTTATAGGGTTTATACTGAGTTCAGTATTGTATAGCTGTATTAATTCAACTGTGAACCTAAAAATTTTATAGCCACTTTTGAAAGAGATGTATCTTTGCTCTGGAAATTGTTATGTTAAAGCTGTAATGAAATGCTTCCTCTAAAAAATTTTTTAAAAAACTGTTAAAAACATAAAAGTAATAATTAAAATAAACCCCACCTGGTTGGGGTTTCAGGCATGGCTAGATTCAGATGCCTCCAAGATAATGCTGGGGTGATGTCCCTGTGCACTCCACAGCTGACTTGTCTTTGGCAGCTAGTCAGCTCTTGGGGTCATCCTGTCACCTCATTAACCCTAGTGCGCTCACAGCCTTGTTTTGCCTCAGTTGCTCCATAGAGCCATGAGATCACATCTCATTGGTTACGGTTGGTCGTATGTTTTTTTTCTGCGGCTGTCATTAGCCTAGGGATATAAAATGCTGGCTGGGCCAGGCCTGGGTCTTGGGGCTGAAGTAGGATGGAATTCTTCGTGACTGGAGCTGATAGCTTAAGTTTGGTTCCTCCACAGACTGTGTATGCAGTCAGAGGCTCTGGTGTAGGGTATCAGGAGGAGTCCATTGGACTCTTTGGAGCCTGAACTATAGCATACGGACTGACTCAGTTTGCCCTTCACTGTGTGAAGGGGGCTTTTCCTATTTCCAACCCTCACATGTTGCAGTTATTACGTACTTATTTCATGTATGCCTTTGTGTCTATAAGTTTGTGGGCATGCTCATTTGAGGAGCTTCCCTTTGGAGAGTCCCTGGACATACCTGCCTCCCTGTCCCCCATTCCCCAGGAGGGGCCAGACATTTCTTGAAGCCTCCCTGAGTTGGCTAACTTGTTAGTGGCAGGAGGAGCAGAAAGCATCTCTGTTGCTGGTGGCAGCAGATTGGAGCTCTAGCCAGCTGAAGGATGCTGTGTAGCCAGGCTGTATGGCTGAGTGAGCTCAGTCCCAGGTGACACTGCAGGACCTGCGCCCAGGCTTGGCTTGGTTACCTGTTCTTGCCACCAGGTTACAGGTTCCCATGCCACACTCAGGAAGCCAGCTTGCCTGTGGAATGGAAGCCACACTCAGGGTCACATGGTTGACACATGCAGGGTGAATGGGTTATGGTTTCAGGCCCTGCCACTTCCAAGGGTGACACAGATGAGGCATGGCTGCCCAGCTCAGGTTATATCCCAGGAAAGCCTTCCATAACCTCAGGACTGGTGCAAGGATGGGGCAAGGACTCTGTCCATTCAAACCCCATGGCAGATTGTGCCAAATGCTCATGCTACTCTCCCAGGGGACCCTGCAGCACCTGACTGCTGCCACCAGGGAGGTTCCCATGTCAGCCGTGGGGGAGGCATGCGTACCTCAGTTCATCAGGCATCTGTTCCCTCCTGAGTCAGGCCACACTCCTGAGGTTGTCTGGGACTCTTGTGGCAAAGGAGCCAGTTGACTTTCTGAAGAGGTTGTCCTGAGAGAGCTCTACCCACAGTCAGGGCTGCAGTGAGGACCAGTCTCTGCTTGGGCTTTCTAGATTTGATTTTGCTTTTGAGGCTGTTCTCGAATAGCCCATGCTGGTCCCAAACTCCCTTTGTAGCCAAGAATGGCCTTGCATTTCTGATCCTCCTGCCCCCACCTCCCCAGTGCTGGGATTTTCCAGAGTGCAACAGCACACCCAGTTTATGTAGTAGGGATGAGCCCAGGGCTTCATGCATGCCAGGTAAGGTGCTGTGCCAGCTGAACTACATTTTCTGCAGTGTTGGGAGTGGACCCAGGCCCTTCTGTGTGCCAAGCAAGTGATTACCACAGTAGCCAAGCCTTTGGCTCCTGGTCACTTATCTTTCTGGTCCAGTCTTTAGGATACAGGAGCATCACCTCCTCACTTGCCCCCTTTAGGAGGGCATGGAGGGGTTGTCACTTTCACCCCATGGAGGCATCTGCCCTAAGTCCCCCAAGGGGTGGGGCTATGGTGCCATCACTCAACACTGTGTCCTGCTCACAGGTGGCCCTGTCAACCTTCGCTGTTTATGTGACTGTGGATAAGAACAATGTCCTGGATGCACAGAAAGCCTTCGTGTCCCTGGCCCTGTTCAACATCCTGCGTTTTCCACTCAACATCTTGCCCATGGTCATCAGCAGCATCGTGCAGGTGTTTAGGAGGCCGGGTGGGGCTGGGCAGGGCAGGTGTGCATGGGGCAGAGTAGGGTGGGGAGACAAGGACCTGCAGCAGGTGGAACTGCAAGGGGTGTGGCAGCAGGGGGGTCAACAGAGGTGGGGGATAGCAGGTGGGGGGACTGCAGGTGGGGTAGTTGCAGGTGGGTGGCAGCAGGTGGGGTGGCGGACACAGCACGTTGGAGGTGCCAGGCTGGGGTGGGGCAGGTGTCCCAGGTGCCCTTAGTGTGACACGCCCATGTTTACTTCCACAGGCCAGTGTCTCCCTCAAGCGCCTCAGGGTCTTTCTGTCACATGAGGAACTAGAGCCAGACAGCATCGAGCGGTGGCCGATGAAGGATGGTGGGTGCCCACCCTGTCCCCCCCTTGGCTCTTTACCCTGGCCTCCCTAGGCCTGGCTCTGTTCTGGGACATGGGGTCTAGCTACTGCAGAGAGGACAGGAAGGGACTCCCCTCTGGTCTGGCTGCCCTAAATGTGGTTCTGTCCCAGGCGAGGAACAGCAGAACAGGGGCTTTGGGCACTGGCCACCTCTGCCACCATCATGTCAATGCCCCAGAGTGCCAGTTTCCTTTTAGGGATAGTGAGGCTGAAAGTACCTTTCATGGGCCATTTTAATATAATAGCATAATTAATAATTAAGCCAAGCTTGGTGGTGTATACCTTTAATCCCAGTATTCATGAGGCAGAGGTAGGCACATCTCAGTGAGATCAAGGCCAGCCTGGTCTACATAGTTCCAGACCAGCTGTGGCTACAGGGGACCTTGTCTTAAAATGATGATGATGATGATTATTATTATTATTTGCAGTGCTGGGGATTGAACCTAGGGCTTCACACGTGCTACGCAAGCACTCCCCCACTGAGCCACATCCCCAACTTGCTTTTAACTTTTTGAGACAGGGTCTTCCTAACTTGTGCATGTCAGCCTTGAACTTGGCCTGAGTAGCTAGGAGGATAGGCATGTGCTCCCAGGCCCAGTGTGGGTCCTGTGGGTTTTTAATGGGCGGGTTTGCTTATTTCGTAGCTGCCCTGAGCTGGTCTTGTTCAACATCTAGGCACTTTGCAGTCTGTATTAACAGTACTGGTAGTGGTGACCCTGCTCAGTTCGGAGGACCTGAGTATAACCAACTCTTTCTGCTCTCAGCCTGGCCTTTGGTTAGGGATGCTTATGTCCCCGCCTGAGGGTACCCAGCAGGTGAAGCGGGATCCCCATGCTCCCCTGGCCAGATGGAGCTGCCTGCTTGGACTCAACACCTGTGCGCCGCCCCCCCACCTCATGCCGGAGGGAGCAGCGCAGGCACAGCCCTATCACAGAGGGAAGGAGAGAGGCTAGTTAGCATGTCTGGGACTGTCCAGCTAGGAAGTAGTAGCACTGGAACTCAAACCCATACCGTCAGAGCCCAGTAAAGAGGGTGGAAGACTGTACCAGGCCATTGGTCATGAGGTATATGCAGTACCAGGCGTCTAGTGGGCTTTCAGATGTCAGCAGTGATGTGCGGGGCGCAGGCCTGCTGCCCTGTGAGGGTAGTCATCACCTCTGTAGTGTGCAGGTTCTCACACCTGGTGCCATGGATCTTGCTCTGAAGGGTAGCCTTGTGACTGGGGATGTTGAGCCACATCCCTGGCATCTCCCTGATACATCCCATGATCACCACCCAGATGGGTTAACTGAACATGTCTCTGGGCATTTCTGGGTGTCCCCTGTGATCACAGTCACCACCCCACCCATTTTGAGAACCAAGTGCGTGCTGGAGCCTTCCTCTGGGTTTCTGCCTTCCTGGGGACAGGATGTAGGAAAGCCGTAGATTTGGCACTGCCTTGTCTCTGAGACAGGCTGGAGTCAGGTGGCCCTGTGTGTCACCAAGTCCTGGCTGGTCCTCCCCTTTCTGAGCTGTTTATCCTCCTACCCAGCTCAGTTTGCTGGGGTCCCTGAGGTTGCTATAGCAGTTTCTCCCCAATTCCCAGAGCTTTGGCTTTGGGGGCTGGGGCGCAGTTCTGTGGTAGAGCGTCTGCCTAGCATTTATGCTGGGTTTGATCCTCCACACCTCAAGAAAGAGACACTTTCCCCTTTTGGGGGTGGTCAGCTTGTTAACTAGTAACTTCCTCTTCCTGCAGATTTGATATCTTGCCCCTAAAAGACTTCTGGTAGATTAAGTGGCTGCTGATTAAGGGGCTTTATTTCATTTCTATAACAGACAGGACTAAAGGGGAAACCAGGGGAGACAGTTGATGGAGCCAGGCAGGACCCTCAGCTCTGATGACCTTATCATATGGGCTTTGGCAAAGCTCTCGCCCCTCCTGTATCTTCCACCCACACTTCCTGTTTCCAAGTATGCTCTACTGATTATGACTTGAGTTGTAGGGAGATTGACCTGTAGGGAGATAGGCAGGGTGGAATGGCCAAGGGAGGGACAGAGAAGGTCCTCAGGGTCCAGGAGTTGAGGGGTGCAGGACGTAGCCTTAAACTAGAGGACAGCCTAGGACATGGAGTGTGATGGTGGGTGTGATGGTAAGCACTTGGGAGAAAGGTTTGTGTGAGGGTATGACTCTCCTCACTGACCTTGGCTGATGCTAAGCCCTCCCAGCCCCTTACTTGCCTGACCTGAGGTTGGGGGTGGAGGAGTTCCCCAAGCACCAAGTAACTGATGAGCACGTCTTCACCCCTTGCCAGGGACTCTGGAGCAGGGAATCTGCATGGTGCCCCGTCATCATGTGTGGCTCCCATGCAGTCCCGAGGCTCCTGACACATGGTCTCCAATGTTTTCCAGGTGGGGTGACAAATAGCATCACTGTGAAGAACGCCACGTTCACGTGGGCCAGGGGCGAGCCTCCTACGCTGAATGGGTGAGCCTGGGGTGAAAATCAGGATAGAGGTGTGGGATGGATGGAAGTGCAGGACCCATGTCAGCTCTGAACACTTGTCATTCCCCAGCTGCTCTCCACTTTTGTGAGCCTGACCAGGGTCCTTTGCCCTTCTGAGCCTCAGCTTACCCATCTGGAAAACAGATCCAGTCACACCTGCTTGGGCAGCTGAGGAATAGCTCAGAGGATGCCTGGTATGGGGGCCAGCACCATGCTGTCAGCTGCAGGGGACAGTCACTCTGGCTGTAGAGGTCCCTGCTCACTTAAAGGTATTTGTTAAAGGACCATTTCACAGCTGAGCATGGTGGCACACATTTATTATTTTAGAACTCGGGAGGCAGATGCCAGAGGATCAGTTGTGAGCCAGCCTTGGCCACAGAGTGAGTTGGCACCTAGCATGGGTTATGTGAGACCTTACCTTAGAAAAAAATAGATTCTAAGGAGATGGCTCAGTCAGGAAAGTGTTTGTTGTGCGAGCATAAAGACCCCAGTTCTTCCAGCAGAGTCCATGCTAAAAACAAGCTGGTTGTGGCCATGTAGCCTGTGAACCCAGTTCCAGCAGGCAGAAACAGGACATTCCCTGGGGTGGTTCTAAGGCTGACTCTTGGCCTCCATGCACGTGTGTACATGTGCACACACCACATGCATGCATACATGCATGCACAGACACAAATACATACACATGCATACCCGCACACAAAAGAACACATGCATGATCATTCACATGTATACGTATGCATGCTCATATACACATATGTGTCCACACACAAAACATGCATACCTTCCTCACATACATGTACCTGTGTATACACATGTACATGTGTGCAAACACATGCATGTACATAAATACATGCATATACACACACATGCCCCCATGCACACAATGCATGAGTACCTGGCGTGCATACACACATGCACACACAGGGTCATCTCTGAGCTGGTGATGCCTTTCTGGAACTAACTCTGTAGCACTGGTCTCCCCTCTTGGGCCCTCCCCTCCTGGGCCCTCATTCTGCTCAGCTTGCGTCCCTGTGGTCCCCAGGCCTGGCCGTTCTGAGCCCTTCCACCCTGGTCTTTTCTACTCTGTGCCAACAGGCATTCCCAGGTGCCTGAGCCCCGACATCCCTTTGGGTTTGACTGGAGGTAGCCTGTCTTGGAGACCATTTGCTGTAGACCCAGTGATGTGAATTCCTCTGTCTGCTTTCCTGGGTGGCACTTAGCCCCAGGTTCTCTACCAACTGGGCATGACTGGCCTGGCTCGGCCGGCCTAGAAAACAGGGCAGTCTCAGCAGGGAAGCAGAGCACTGGAGCACCGCACCACTCAGTATCCACTTTGTATCTCTGCAGCATCACCTTCTCCATCCCTGAAGGTGCCCTGGTGGCCGTGGTGGGCCAGGTGGGCTGCGGGAAGTCGTCCCTGCTGTCAGCCCTGCTGGCTGAGATGGACAAGGTGGAGGGACACGCGACTCTTAAGGTAGGGGGACCTGGGATGAAGAGTGGGGATTGCAACAGGGAGCTGTGGCCCTGTTGGAAGTCCGCACCAGGATTTCCTGAAGACTATTTTGAGCATGGGAGCAGTCTGTCCTCCCTCTTCACTGCACTCCCCACAACTCTCTGCATACCCAGGAGGGCAGGACTTCTGTGCCAGCCCACCCTCCTGCACCCCAGGTCTTTAGCTAGCGTGACATAGGCCAGCTGCACAGCGAACACTTTGTAAATGCCCAGATGTGCCGCAGAGGACAATGGACTTGCAGCCTCTGGCTTGCTGGCCTGGCATATTTCACTTCACATCATCTTTAGCCCCATCCCTTTTCCTGACTGAATAATACTCCATTGGCTGCTCTTTGTGTGTGTGTGTGTGTGTGTGTGTGTGTGTGTGTGTGTGTGAGAGAGAGAGAGAGAGAGAGAGAGAGAGAGAGAGGAGAGAGTATTGACATGAAGTTAAAAGGGGCTCTGTTTGAGGGGGGGAAGGGAAGAGTGAGAGGGGGAACTAGGGGGAACATGATGAAGTTCAATGGTATATCTACTTGAAAGTGTCAGGAGAGGGAGAGAGGAGCTCCTGGGAACATCTCCGCATCCCCTCAAGGCCCTCATCATCCTCTCCTCTCCCCTCCCCTGGTATCTTCCACACCCTTCCCATCTGTCTTGCTGCACAGAACCTTCTGACTGCTTCTCTCACCTTTGGATCTTTCTGTCTGTCTTGTCAACATAGCATAACTCTAAGTGTTGATTTCTGTGGCTGGAATCCCATCACAACCTGGTTTTTTTGAAGGCACAATTTCAACCCTGAGTGTTGGTTGAATTCTTAATATGGGGCTGGAGGAGGAGTGTGGTTTATTGGTAGGTGCAGGACGACACTGAGCTGAGCTAAGCTTCCAGAGAAAGCCAATGGGCTGCTATGCAGATAAGTCCCCCCAGGGACCCAGAGCCTCTGCCTATGGCTACTTACCAGCCGAGGCTTCTTGGCTTTTTGTATAAACAAGTTCCCCACAGTTTTGACACCAGCTTCTCCTAAGGTTGTAGCCTGGAGCTTGGCTTGCCTGATGTTTGGAAATAAAAACCCCAGGCTCCTGTTGGGGAACCATACCCTCACACTCACTAACAAAATAAAAGCTCGGAGAGTACTGCGAGGAGAAAAAAAACAGCCGCTTTGTGTGAGCCCCACATACAGCCGTGGGACCTTTTTACCGTCTCTGTCTGCTGTTACCCACCCATTGTCTCCTGGATGCCAGCTTAGACTACATTATTATTTCTTTTTTAAAAAAGTTTTTAATTATTTTATGTGTGTGTATGTATTGCCTGCATGTAGGTCAGTGCACCTGTGTTGTGCAATGCCCACGGAGGTCAGACGAGGCTGTCGGCTCCCCTGGGACAGTTGTTAGCTGCCATGTGGGTGCTGTGATTCGAACCCGGGTCTTCTGCAAGAACAACCAGTGTTCTTAACCACTGAGCTATCTCTCCAGCCCCCACATTATTTCAATCCAGATCCTCCTGCTCAGTTCATGTCCTGTTAGAAACAGGCAGCGGCTGGGACTCAGTCAGCCTGTTGCTTTCAGAGGTGTCCTGCTGTTTCTTTCAAGCACATAAAAATTGCTGGTGGATGGCAGTGTGAATGAGTTGATGAAGGAAAGTGTTCATCATATTGTATTATGTTTCATGAACCCCCGTTTGCCACTGTCCCAGCTACTGACATTTAGGGTCAGAAATGCTGGGAATGTATGTTGGGAACTCATGGTTGTGTATGCCGGCCTGAGTGACCTGTGAGGCTTATGGCCAAGGCTTCCTGACACCTAGGGCTCATGGACACTAGGATGTTAGTGAGTCATTTCCCTGAGAATTTAGGTCCCGATTTGGGACACTGGTTTCCACTCTCTTAGAATCCCCTGTGGCTTCCTATGACCCTTTTTGATAAAGGTTGGCATGGTCCCAGCCGTGTGAGCTGGCCCTGTCACTTGCCTGTCTTCACAAGAGCCACTGTTTCCAGTTTGGCTGGCCTTTCTGCCCTTGGTAGAGCTGAGTTTATCTTGTCTTGCCCTGGTCTGTGCTGTTCCCTTTGACTCATGCTGTTCCCTCTTCTCATACTTTTCCCTCTGGCTCAGTGCCCTTTGTTCGTCTCTGTTCTTCCCCTTGCTTTGTGTGTCTTGTGCAGTCAGCTCTCTTGGGAGTCAGGTGTAGTCAGCTGTCTGTTCGTCAAGTCCGACCGTCTCCCCTCTCTTCCACCTGCCACAGGGCTCGGTGGCCTACGTGCCCCAACAGGCCTGGATTCAGAATGGCTCTCTCCGAGAGAACATCCTGTTTGGGCACCCACTGCAGGAGCACTACTACAAGGCTGTGATGGAAGCCTGCGCCCTCCTCCCGGATCTGGAAATCCTGCCCAGCGGAGACCGGACAGAGATTGGAGAGAAGGTGAGTGAGGTGTCAGTGCAGCTGGCAGCAGTCAGTTGCTGCTCTATAATAGACAGCAACACCTTGACAGTGCCTTTCACACTAAATGCTGCCCTCCTGCTGGGGGTCTGCAAATGGACTCTTGGCAGTGACAACAGCAGCTGCAGTAAAATAATGGTGTCTGCACTACACCCATGGTGACTTCATAGACTTCATACTGACAGGCTGGAGCTGTGAGCAGCTGCCATCTTCCTTTTTCTTGTGGCACTGGAGACTGAAGCCAGGGCTGTGGGCCGTATGCACGCCAGATAAGCTCTGCCACTGAGCTACACCCCAGCCCTCTTTTTACTTTTCACTTTGAGACATTGCTTGGGCTGGCCTTGAACTCGCTCTGTAGCCTAGACTGGCCTTGAGTTTGCTATCCTCCTGCCTCTGTTTCCTGAGTAGCTGGGGTAACTGACCTGTCCACCAGGCCTGGCTGTCAGCTGCCCTTCCCTGCACACTCACTGGGGTTCAGGTACCCGGCAGCTCTTCTGTCTCCACTCTTGTCACTCTGTGGTTCTGGGGTCCCAAGCATTCAGGAACCCACTCTCTCTGCAGGGCGTGAACCTTTCCGGGGGCCAGAAGCAGCGTGTGAGCCTGGCCCGGGCTGTATACTGCAATTCTGACATCTACCTCTTGGACGACCCCCTGTCTGCTGTGGATGCGCATGTGGGAAAACATATCTTCGAAAAGGTGGTCGGCCCCAAGGGGATGCTGAGGAGCAAGGTACTCTCCTGGGCTGCCTTGCACACGTAGTGCAGCCCACACAGGTCTGTGCTTTCCAGACCTTTCTTTTCAGATGGTGCTCAGTGTCGCCTGCTCTCCTTGGGAGCTCGTGTGTATGTGTGTGTGCTTTTGAGAGGAAGCCAGAGGACGGCCTCAGGCACCTTCTTTGTTTGTTTGGTGGTTTTTGTTTTCTTGGGGTTTTTTTTTGTCTTCTTGAGATGGGCTCCCCATAGCTCGAACTGGCCTGGAACTTGCTGTGTAGACCAGGCTGGCCTCTGCCTCTGCCTGGGATTAAAGGTGTATACCACCATGCCCAGCCTCCTTGTTTCTGAGGCAGGGTTTTTCACTGACCCTGGGGGCTCCCTGATGAGGCTGGGACCTGCCGGTCTCTACCTCCCTAGCACTGGGATTACAAGTGTACCTGCTAACTTGCCTGGCTTTTTACATGGGGTTCTGGGCATCAAACTCAGGTCCTTGTGTGGCAAGCACTTTATCAACTGAGCCATCTCCCCCATCCCCCCCGCCCCGACCAGAGAGATATCTTACACAGGTCTTCATAGCATGGGGCTTTGGCCCCACTTGAATTTATTTCCTCTGTTGGTCAAAGGAGACCCCCTTCCCCATGAGGCCAGGGACACCTTCCGAGTTCACCTCAGAGTTTCAGCAAGGGCCAGGCTGCTATTAAAGCCTCAGCACATGCCAGCTGTGGGTGCAGCTTGAAGCCAAAAAGTGGCCCCAGCTCTAAGCAGGAGAAGCTGGGTCTGTGCTGTTGCTTTTTTTTTTTTTTTTTTTTTAAGGTGGTGGGGCAGTACACACTGGTTCTTCCCCCCTAATTATTAAAGGAACAATGTGTCTAGGAAGGAATGGTGAGGCTCAAGGAAAACAACAAAATGAAGGGAAGTCCCCCTCTTAGAGACTTGTTTATTTGAGTCATTTTGCTGTGTTTATAATGGCCTGCGTGTTTTTATGAGGGTAGGCAGCATCATGTCACTAAGTCTAGTACAGTATTCCTACAGATGTTGCTAAAATTATGCACAAGCATATTTAAATACTGAAAAGTATTTTAAGTTTTCAAAGGAATACCTGTCCATCCTAATGAAATCAGGAGGGTATAGGTGCATGTGCCTCTGCCTGAGCACATGTGTGTTGACATACATGACCCCTTCAGCCTGCGATCAGGACTTCTTGAGGTGAGAATGGCCTTTATTTATTTATTTAAATTATTTTGAATCAGGGTCTCATGTAGCCCAGGCTGACCTTGATCTTCCTATATAACAGGATGACTTTGAACTTCTGATCCTCCTGCCTCTACGTCTCTAGTGCTGGAATGGCAGGCATGTGCTGCCATGCCCTGTTTACATAGTGCTGGGGATGGAGCTCAGAATTTCATACATGATGACAAGCATGCTGCCAATTAAGCCACATGCCCAGCCTGGATTTTACTTATTTATTTCTGTGCTTTATTTTCTTGGGGTTATTTTATTTTATTTTATATTTTGAGACAGGGTCTCCCTGTAGCCACAGCTGACCTAGAACTCACTGTGTAGACCAGACTGGCGTCACTCTCACAGAGACCTACCTGCCCCTGTCTTCAGAGAGCTGGGACTAAAGGCATGTGGCACCACACCTGGCTTCTTCGGGTTTTTTAAAAAAGGATTTATTTTCTTTATAATTATGTGTCTGTGTGGTTATGTACACACAAGTGCAGTTGGTTATAGAGGCCAGAGAGGGTGTTGGATCCTCTGGAGCTGGAGTTATATAGGCAGTTGTAAGCTGCCCAAAATGGGTGCTGGGAACTGAACTGGAGTTCTCTGCAAGAGCAGTAGCTCTCACTCAGGGAGCTATTTCTCTAGTCCCTATTTTCTTTGATTTTGAGACAGGTTTTCTTTCTGTAGCCTAGCCCATCTTCAACTTCGTGATCCACCTGCCTCAGCCTCCCGAGTGCTGGGATGACAGGTGTGTACCACCACACTCAACTGTTTTTACATTTCAGAATTGTGTGTGTGTGTGTGTGTGTGTGTGTGTGTTTGTGGGAGGGTGAAGAAGAATATGTGACATGCACCAATCTTGTTAAAAATATACCTCAGCATCTGCCCGTTGGGCTCTGTCACAGACAGGACACAAGGCAGCTGGGGTGCTGCCCAGGGTTACTTGTCACCATAGCCAGCTGAATGGTTGCCTAGCAACTGAAGGGTCCTAAGACTTCACCACCTGCCTCCACCCCCTTTTCGAGACAAGGTCACCCTGTAGCCCCAGCTGGCCTGGAACTCACTATATAGACCAGGTTGACCTCCATCTCACAGAGATCTCTCTGCCTCTGCCTCCTGAGTGCTGGGATTAAAGGTGTACATACCATATCCTGCTCCATCTGGCCCTTTAAGATGACATTGGCAGCCTTCTGTTGATAGTCTGATAAACATGTCTCAAACTCTAAGGCCTGTGGTTAAACCAGTATGTGTGAACCCCTGTAAGATTAAAGACAGGCATGTACACAGCACATTTTCTAGTGCATTTTGGTTAGAAGGTTAGGGAATTTACTGTCTAAAATTAAAAAATTAGAGTCAAGCCTGGTGGTATACACCTGTTATCCCAGCATAGGGAAGTTGAGGCAGGAGGAGTTAAGGCCAGCTTGGGCTACATAGCCAGAACCTGTATCAGAAGATACGGGCTAGAATGTGGCTCAGTGGTAAGAGTGCTTGCCTAGCATGCACAAGGCCTTGGGTTCAGTCCCCAGCACTGCAAAAAATAAATTGAGTCTACTCCATGCAGACTTTCGCAGTGACCTCACCTTCCCTTCACCCATACTCTCTGGTGTTCCCCTTCCCTCCCATAGATTTCCTTCAAAAACAGTATCCCCACTACCCTGTTGTACCACCCCCTTTCTCAACACTCGGTTGTATTTCTGTGGTTCATTACCCTCCATCCCTCGAGTCCCTCTGGTCCCCACAGGACTGAGACACGCCGTCTCCTCCATGGGTGCTCATGGGGCCTGGTCTCCACTTTTTCCCACAGACTCGGATCCTAGTCACCCACGGCATCAGCTACCTGCCCCAAGTGGATGTTATCCTTGTCATGAGCGGTGGCAAGATCTCAGAGATGGGCTCCTATCAGGAGCTGCTGGCCCGGGATGGCGCCTTTGCTGAGTTCCTGCGCACCTATGCCAGCGCCGAGCAGGACCCTGACTCAGAAGATGATGGTAAGGGTGGCATGGGGACCAAGGGTTGGCCCTGGTGATCAGAGCTGTCTGTGGGAGGGTCCCCCATGTCCTAGGGGGACACTTCGTGAGGACATTGGGGTGACAGTGTATCAGGCCCCCAAGGGACCAACAGATGGACAGACCAGCTTAATCTTGAAGGTCAAGTTGAATGAGGTCTCCAGAGCACCATGGTTTGGTTTGGTACCCCCCCCCCCGTATTGTTCCTGTGGAATAGCCTAGGGCCTGTGAGCTTCAGGGTCCTCATGACTAAAATGGCAACAGTGATAATTACAGTTACTTCTACCTCTGATTGGGACTGAGGGCCATTGACCCTCATGGGGTAGCTTGGGACAGCATGAGGGTCTCGTGTTTTGACATAGGACTAAGTTTATGCCTTCAGAGTTGGTGGCTTGTTCCTTGGAGCTTTGCCCCTCCTTCAGACCCTCAGAGTGTGGGTCCCCCTGAATGAGTGGTGTGACCTCAGGGACAGCTGGCATGTGGTCATCAGTGTGGCCTTGGGAGCCTGGGATACCCCATGTGCTCTACAACTGTGCTGTTCCAGCCCAGGACAGAGCCGTTGTCCCTGACGTGTGCTATGTTACCACAGACCTGCCCATTGCAGTCATCTCGCCTACTGTCCTGGCTGGGACCCTGTGATTGGTGGGTTCCAGTGCCGGTTGACACTTGCAGACTGGTGTGTTTGGACTTACAAAGCAGGTACAGGCTCTCCAGGCCCTCTGGAAATCCTGGTCCCTCCATCAGTGGCTGGAGAATTTGTCACAGATTCATAGGGGAACACAATTCAGGTTTGGGAACAAGATAACATGAACACCTCTTTCCTTGTGACCCTTAAAATCTAGAGGACGAGAAAGAGCGAGGCCAGCTCCATGCAGACCAGGGACTCCTCACTGGGTCCGGGAGGGGTGGGCAGCCCACGAACAATAGGGAACTGTGTGGTATGGGGAGCATGTAGAAGAGCACATGCAAAGGCCTCAGGATCAGTGTGCTTTACGAAACAAACAGGAGGCTACTGTGGCCAGCAGCTTGGGTAAGGAAGAGAAGAGATTGCCCAGCGGGACCTTCAACGTTTGGGTTTGAGTTTTAGTCTAAATGCAACAGTGAGCCCTTGAGCCCTTGAATGTCAGAGAGAAAGCATCTGATCTAAGGACATGAAGTGGCTGCCAGCAGCACCAGACCTCACATCTGCTCTCATGGGGGTCGTGGGGGCCCATTCCAGTCTGCATTAGGATGCCTACAGCCCCTAGTGGTTTTTAATAAATGTTTTCTTGAGACACTGGGTGTGGTAGTACACACCTGTAATTCCAGCGCTTGGGAGGCTGAGGCAGCAGGATTGCTGCGAGTTTGAGCCCTTCCCTCCTCACTCCCAAAAAGAAGCTTTTCTGAGATAAAATTCATATACCATCGAAGTGGCCCTTGAACTTGTACAAGCCAGTGTTGGCTAACATAGTGGGTCTCACAGCCATCATGATCAACCTCAGAGCATTCTCATCACCCTAGAGGAAACTAGATCTATTAGTAAGCACTGCCCCCCCCCCCCCGTTTTTTGCCAGGGCCCCCAGCCCTAGTCAGCCTGTACTCCATCTCTATAGACCAGTCTACTCCAGACTTCCCATGTCCATGGATGCATACAGCAGGTGGTGCTTTCTTAGGGTTTGTCTCTATTGTAGCCACACCTCTATTCATGGCTGAATAGTACTCCATTGTGTGGACAGACCCCGCTTAGCCCTGGTGGGACATTTGGGTTGCCTCTTCTGTTGGCTGCTGTGAGTCACTGCTCTGCCCCCTAGTGGTCTGAAAAGCATCACTGCAGTGGCACAGTCCTGTCATCACAGCACCTGGGAGGCTAAAGGCAGGAGGATCCCGAGTTTGAGTAGTTTGAGATTAGCATGTGCTGGGATACACTGAGACTCTTTCCAAAAAAAGCAAAAAGGGCGGAATGGAACACTGTGTCTTTGCATCTTCGCCTGTGCGGCGGCTGGTGTTCGGTCAGCTTTCAAGTCTGTGCTTGGAATGATTTACTCTATACATTCTGCCCCTGTGACTGGAAAGTTCTGTCCCAAGTCTGGCCTGTTTGTTTTTGGGTAGAATCTTCCTCTTTATCTCTTAGCTCATGATGAACTGCAGCCATTTTCAAAGCCCTTGTATTTCACTGGCCTGTTTGGTGGGCCATGATTAGAAAATCAATTCAGCTGTTTCTGTCTCCATGGGTAATGATTTAACTGAACCACATACCCACCCCCATCCCACTATCCAGATGAGCAAGAACCCCCCCCCCCCCCCCCGTAGCCACCTGGGGCCCTTCATACACAATGTGGAGGGCTGCCAGTTTCTTTTCTTTTTTTTTTCCTTTTTTTTTTAAAGTTCTACATTTATTCAGTGTTTTTTTGTGTGTGTGTGTGTGTGCACACTATCGTACATGTGTGGACACCTGTGAGGATTCTTTCCCTCCACTCTGACCATTCCAGATATCAAACTCAGGTCATCCAACTTGGCAGCAAGCTCCTTTATCCACTGAGCAGTCTTGCCAGCCCATTTCTTATGTTCGGTGTATGTCACACCTCATTTGACAATGAGAATGCCATGCTCCCACCCTAACATTGGGCTATTTCCCCAGTTCAGTTGGTGGCCTCCTGCCTCTGTCCCTTCCTGCAGGGCCCATTACTGCTGGCCATCAGCCTTGACCAACATAGCAGTGGCCCCTACTATTTCCTAACATTTTGTTTGTCTACCACTAAAGGGAACCTTTCTTTCTTCATTAAGTTCACCTGGTACGGATTGGCCAGGCTGAAGGCGGGGCTCGGGACCTTCTCTAAGTGTGATGAGGAAGGATATGCCAGTGGAGGGAGTGGCCCTGAGTATCTATTACATTCGTTTCTAGGATAAGGATACTTATTTATTTAGGGTATTGAGCAATAAAACCCAGTCATTACACTGGACATGGCAGAATAGGCCTGCAATCCTGGCATAGGCAGGAAGATCACAAGTTGAAGACAACATGGGTTCCTCTTTCTTGTCCTGGGGAGCGCAGGGGCCCCCCATTTGCTGGCATGGCCCTGAGCAGGCAGCTAAGGAGAACACCCCCTACAGGTTTTCCTGCTCATAACCACTTGGAGGCAGAAGTCTCTTGGGTCTCTTTGGGACAGTGAGGCATCTACTACAAAGCAGTTGAGTTGTTCTCACAATGGAGGCTGGCCTACGGGAGCTCACCCAGAAGGAGTTCCAGAAACTTCTTGAGTACAGGGATGTTGGTTTAAGCAGGATGACTGCTTGAGGGGGCAGCCAAGCTCAGTCAGGCTGAGCCTCTGTGGTGTATGGCTGGGACAGAGCCTAGCTTGTAGGCTCAGAGAATGCTAGGAGCGATTTGGGACAGTCTATGAATGACAAGCTTCATGTAAATGCTTGAAAATATAGTATGGCTACTGTGATGTCCCTGTGGTGTTGGAAGGTCACCTTCACTTCCTCACTGACCATTCACTTGTCAGTCTGCCCAACTGCCCATCAGGGGTGTCAGAATGCCTGCTGTGAGCTGTTTGAATGGTGCCCCTCTCTGGTACTATGCAGTGTGTATCTTGTATAATTGCATGTGGTACATCAGGGGCTCGGAATGGAGTGGCAGATAAGAGCCATTCTGTGTCCTAGGGTCTGACGGGAGAGACTAAAGAACATCATGGTGGTACATGTATCAGTTCGGGGAGACTGAGGGCTTAGGGGAGCGTCAAGGAACCCCACACCAGTCTGGGAGGTCCAGGACGGCATCTGGCCTGAACCACCTTGTCTCACCTTCATATGGATCTCCAAGCAGCTGGCCCAGTGGAGGTTGTGTATAGCCTGGCTTTCTGGGGGTGGGGTATGTGTGCTCTCTAAGAACTGAAGCTATAGGCAGCCAGCCTCCTGCCATGACATGCCAGCCTGCGTTCCTGGTGCTGCAGTCTGCCTTCCCCTCCCTGTGCTGCAGATAAACAGTGGCGACTACACCACGGTACATCCCCAGGTCTTTTCCCCTCTGATGCTGGGGCTGAAACCCAGGGCTTTGCTCCTGCTCTACCACTGCACTACATCCCCAGTCCTCTTTTTCCTCATTTATTTTGAGATAGACTCTAAGTTGCCCAGACTGGCCTTGAACTTGCGATCCTCCTGCCTCAGCCTCACAAGTGGCCAGGATGACATATCTGTGCACCATAGCCAGCTTCCCAGCTCTCTTGATCAAACACAGTTGTGCCTTCCAGAAAGGTGCTGGTCAGGGCTCTGCCTATGTAGAATGGGAAAACCGAAGCACACATATGGCAGGCCCCTGTCAGCCGAGCTCACCCCTTTAGCCCCTTTGCCTGAGGCTCTTAACAGTTTCCTGGATCTTGTGACTTTCAGGCAGCGGAGTGGTGGATGAAGAGGAAGGTCAGTGAGGCCCAGGCTGGTGAGATGAGCTTGTAGATGTAGAGTCAGGCTTCGTGCCTGAGGCTGTGCAGTTGCTGCATGCCTTAGGGGTTGGTGGGGAGGTGGATGTGTGTGTGTGTGTGTGAATTCTCACCCAGAGGCTCTGCAGGATGTTTCTAGATCCCTTGGTGTCACTTGGCATATGTGGGTTAAGGGACCCCAGCAAGCATACTCCTGAAGTGCCCGGCTGGGGAGCGCTGGGCACAGCAGATAGACAGGGAAGGGCAGCCGTTTGGGATGCTTCTTGTGCATCTCTGGGTAAGGTGAGGAATTGCAGGTGGCTACAGTAGTGGAGGAGGGGTGTCCAACAGAGTCCAGAGGCTATGCTGGCCTCCACCTCCTCCACATGCAGCAGTGTAGGGCTGAGGTTCACATCAGGGGCTCCTAAGCAGGTAACAGAACGCTTTTTGGCCATTTTAAACAAAGAAGGGTACCAGGTCACGAAGACCCAGATGCCCAGAGATAGAGTGGCAATTCAAAGTCTCGAGAGGGGCTCTGGGGACCACAGGCTGAACCTCCAGGACAGGAGAGCCTGGTTACCCACTGCAAAGCTCCTGGAGCTGCAGGAAGGGGGGCAGCCATGCTCCACTCCTTAAGATCTCAGACTCCCTCTTCCAGAGCCCAGCCCCAAGTGATCCGGGTAGATCATCAGCTGGTAGGTAGAGAAAGTAAGGCAGCCACGGGGGCCACCATCACTCCTGTCTAGAGCTGTCCTGTGCATGTGATGAATGTTGCTCCACGGGAAGCCCTGCTTGTTATCACTCATCCTGGGTGCATGACTGTTTTTGGTTTTGTGACTTTTTTTTTTTTTTTAATGTGTATAAGTGTATTGCCTGCATGTATGTGAATACACCCATGTCATGAAATGCTGTGGAGGTCGGAAGAGGGCTTCGGATTCCCCTGGAACTGGAGTTAAGGACGGTTTGTAGCTGCCATGTAGATGCTGGGAATCAAACCCGGGTCCTCTGTAAGAGCAATCAGTGCTCTTAACCGCTGAGCCATCTCTCCAGCCCCAAGGTTTTATGACTTTTTAAAAAACCACAACAGCTGGGTGTGGTGGCGCATGCCTTTAATCCCAGCACTTGGGAGGCAGAGGCAGGTGGATCTCTGTGAGTTCAAGGCCAGCCTGGTCTACATAGTGAGTTCCAGGACAGCTGGGGCTACAGGGAGACTCTGTCTCAAAAAGACCAAAAAAAAAAAAAACCCCACAACAAAGAGCTGAAGAGATGGCTCAGCAGTTAAGAGCACTGACTGTTCTTGTAGAAGACCTGGGTTCGAATCCCAGCACCCACATGGCAGCTAACAACTGCTTATAACTCCAGTTTCAGGGGATCCAACACCCTCTTTTGTCCTCCATGGGCATTTCATGAACAGGTGCACTTACATACATGCAGGCGTAACACTCATACACATAAAATAAAAATTCAAAAATAAAAAACACAACAAAACACAGTCGCTGAGCTATAGAGATAATAGTTAAGTGCTTGCTTTGCATGATGACCTTGGTCCAATCCCCAGAACCTGTGTAAAGTCAGCATTTTGCACACTTATATCCCTAGCACTGGAGAGGTAGAGACAGGCAAATCTCTGGGGCTTACCGGCCAGCTAGCCCAGCCTAATCAGTGAGCCCCACGATGAAAGAGATCCTGTCTCAAAGCACTCAGTGGAGGAAATCTGAGGAACAACAGCCAACGTGCTGTGACTTCCACCCCTCCTCACACACAGAAACACACATAGAATATAAATTCCGATGTTCAAGGGAATGTTTAAAGGAGCCACTGTCAGTATTGACTGAGTACATTCACAAATGCACAGTCAGCAGCACACTGAGCTGTGCTCCATATGCCTGTGATGTCGGCTCGGCCTTTTGCATACGAGGGTCAGGTCTGTTCCCATTTTATGGATGGGCAACTTGGGGCTCGGAGATTTTGCACTTCCTCACGGCACACAGCCAAAGAAGTGAGCATACAGTTCCCAAAGTCCCAGGTTCCTGACCATACTGGAACTGAGTCCTGTGGGGACCTGGGTGGGACCCAGGGATCTTCTCATTTGCAGTGGCCCTGGCCCAGGAACTGTCCTGGGTCCATCTTTCTTCTCGGCCTAGCTGGCTCCCAGGAGTACGAGGGAACCAGCTCTGCATCCTGTGTTATCTTTGTCACCTCAGTGAGTCCCCAAGTCATCCTGACGCTACTGGCTGCATGTTTGTACTGTGGGCAGTCTCTGTCCTGGGTTCCCCTCCCCCAGTCCTTGATGCCTTGTCTGTCTGTCCTTCTGTCTCTGTACCAAAGAATGCAGAAGCCACTGTGGGGCAGGAGTCACAGATCACTAGCTGCTGTTCACTGGGAGGGACAGTGGTGTCCAGTGTCCCTAGTCACCATCAGGTGCCACTGGGGCTGGCATCCTGATGATCTTGTTGGCACCTGGCAGAGCCTTTAGTGGTCAGCAAATCCAACAGCTGTGCCCTGTGGTGGCCTTGCCAGTTGTTTGAACACCAGAACCCTCTTACTGGAGATAAGCTGTTGTCACGGGTCCTGTCCCTTTGTCTCTGGCCATCTCCCTGTGACCTGGCCGCACAGGTGGACTCTGGCACTGAGGGTATCTGGGCCTCTGCCTGTGGTGCTGGCTGTGATTTGGTACAAGGTCTCAGCATGTAGCCCAGATGCTTACTTACATTAGCTCCCTGCCTCAACCTCCCCAGGCCTGCATCACCACAGAGGTGTGATGTTAGTGTTGAGCAGCACCCTCTCCTGGATGCTTGGAATCCATACACTCTGCCCTGTGTCTCACCATAGATTGAACTTGCTGGTATTTGCATTTTACCCAAGGCTCCTGGTGCAGGCTGACTGTGTAGATGTGGGATCCTCTGCCTTTGAGCCAAGCTTACAGCAGCAAAGCTCTGTTCCTCCCCAGGGGCCTGCCTTCCTGAGATCCCTGGTGGCCAGGTCCCTACTGTCTCCTCCAGAGGCAATAGTGCTTCTTGGTCTTTGGTTTGGCTTGACCAGCTCCTGATGGCCATATTCTGCCCTCTGCCTCTCTCCTGCCAGGTGTCAGTGCTCCAGGGAAGGAGGTAAAGCCGTTGGAAAATGGGATGCTGGTGACGGAGATGGCAGGGAAGCACCTGCAGAGGTCAGCATGGGAGGTGCCCTGTCCTGAGCTGCTCTTGGCCCTTTATCTGACCCTGTGTGGACTCAGGAGAGCCAGGTGGCACCTCTCTCCACCCATACCTCCCAGACCCTTGGACTGCCTGAGCATCCTGTGCCCTTCCCCAGCCTCCCGAAGCCTTGCCTCCTAGGACACTGAAGCCTAGGCAGACCCAGCATTGGGCCTGATGGGGATGAAGCTCACACAGCCTGTCATTGAATCATCTGTCCCCACTCTGAAACTTGCCCCAACTTGCTGTGGGTCCTTGCTCAGGGACTTTGTGACTGCAGGCAGTCACACTAACAGTGATGCTGGCTCGGTGTCAAGCCTGCAGTTTTCTGGACTCCAGCCTGCTGCTGGTCTCCCCCATCTCACAGTGAGCAGACCCAACGGCTGGCCAGTAGCCATCAGTTCCATCTAACACTGCTTCAGAGAGACTACTTGGGGTTTGTTAGGGATTTTTTTTTTTTTTTTGAGAAGGGTCTCATAGTTCAGACTGGCCTTGAACTGGATAAGTAGTGAAAGATAACCTTGAACTCTTACCTCTACCTCCTGGGTGCTGGGCAATAGGAATATGCCACCATGCACACTGTATGGGGTACTGGCGATGGGACGAGGACTTCATACATGCTAGGTGAGCACCCTATGAATTGAGCCACAACCCTAACCCAGAATCATTTTAAGTGAGGCTGGTTCCCATAGACTTTTTGCCTATTACTCTCCACGTGTGTATCATAGACTAGCCAGTCCACATCCCCCATTCCTGCCCCAGGTACTCCTTTCCCTGGGGACCTGTCCCCATGGGAGGGGCCACAGAGGCACTTGTGCGTGTTCATGTGTATGCTCACTCCCGGGGCTCTTCTTGACAGTCATCCTGTGTTCTTGTCACCAGACAACTCAGCAGCTCCTCCTCCTACAGCGGGGACATGGGCCGCCAGCATGCCAGCACAGCTGAACTGCAGAAAGCCGGAGCCAAGGAGGAGACCTGGAAGTTGGTGGAGGCAGACAAAGCACAGACGGGGCAGGTGGGCACTGTGCTGGGTACACATGAACATAGGCACGCATGGGGCAGTAAGCCTGTCAGGGCTCCAGCTCGTTTCCTAAGCCAGGGCAGAGAGGCCAGTGACTGGCTGGACTGGGATCTGCCAACTTCATGTGGGCACTTCAGTTGGTACGCTGGGGCTTCTAGAAGCACATCAGCCTCTTCATTCCCCTCTGAGCATCTTCCTGTACCCTGTTGTGCTCAGGGCCACCCGGCTGTAAGTGGCCTGGAGTCCTGAGTGGGACCTTGCAGCATGTGTAGGCGGCTGAGCTCCGTGTCTCCAGCCTCATTGTCTTCCTTGTGTGCAGTGCTATCCTTCATGGTTCCCCTACGTGCTGTGCTCCTACCTCAGGGCCTTTGCATCGGCAGCCTCCCCACCTGACTGCCCCGCTCCACAGTGCCTTTTTTCCGTTTGAAACTGGTGAACTTTTCAGTGGTATTTCTCCAGGGAAACCCACCCCCACCCCCACCCCCATACCTCTCCACTTGAGTAGGTCAGGATGTCTGTGTCACTGTTGTGGAATCCTGTGCCTCTTACAGTCCTTCTCTGCTCATGTGTGGGTGATGATATGTGTTAGCCAGTCTGGAAGCTCTGTGCGGGAATTCTGGCCTAGTCTTGGCTTCGTTGACTGATTAGGTAGTGGGGAATTGAGGTCTGGATGTGGGTGGGTAGGCTGGGCTGCATGGGAACTCAGGAGTCGCCAGCTTGTATTTGCTCTCTCTGGTCACAGGTGAAGTTGTCGGTGTACTGGGATTACATGAAGGCTATCGGCCTCTTCATCTCCTTCCTTAGCATCTTCCTGTTTCTGTGCAACCATGTGTCCTCACTGGCCTCCAACTACTGGCTCAGCCTCTGGACTGATGATTCCAACAACAAGGGCTCCCAGCGGCACACGAATGTCTGGCTGGGCGTCTATGGGGCTCTGGGCATCTCTCAAGGTGTGTGCCACTGTCCCTGCTGTCCTCACTCAGGTGTCTTTTAATACCTCACGTGAAATTACAGAACTGGGTCCCTGAATCCTCAGGGGGTTTATTCCCCCAAACTGAGCCACACCCAGGTGGACAGAACCTGTCACACAATAGACCCCCAAATACTTGTTGAATTCATGCCCACCCTCCTCGGTCCTTCTCAGAACCATGCAGCTAAAGCCACACAGCTGGCAGAGCTGGCACGGGTAGAGGCAGCCCTTGGGAGCTCACTCTCCGTACAGCTGTGCCAGGCAGTGTGTGAGTTAGCTACCTGCAGGTCTGTGTGCTCATAACACTGCTTTGCACACATGCGTCCATTCCATGCCCATAATGTGCACGAGTGGACACGAAAGGGGTCTTCTTGTGAAAGTGCCTTCCAAGTTGGTGCGTTGGCAGGAAGCCACTTAGTGCTGGCTGGGTCGCTGAGCTTAGTGTCGCTGACTTCAGTGCTGCCTCTAATTTCTTCCTGATCAAAGAGCCTGTCATACAAGTTCTGGAAAGAACTCTGAAGACTGCAGGCTGTTTGGAGTGGGGTGCAGATGTCTTCTTATTCTCAAAGGTGGCTGGGACAAACCAGAAGAGCTGGCTGTGGAGGCCCTGTTTCTCCATCCATTACTTCTCCTTCCCTTGGGGGATGTAATCTCCAAATTATATTTGAGGGAAAGAAGAGGACAGAGAGGGTGTGGCATTTCCCTGAGGTCACACAGCAGCCTTGTCTGAGGGAATAACTGTGCTGCCCAGCATGGTAACCACCAGCCATGAGAGGTGATTTTAATTCCAGTTAAGTAAAATTAGGTAAAACTTTCAGTTCCTCAGAAATCAGAGCACAGTAAGTGCTAGTGAGCAAGGGGCACCCCCCTCTACATCTCACGCTTACTCCTCTTGTCCTAGGCTTGGCGGTGTTTGGCTACTCCATGATGGTGTCCATCGGGGGCATCTTTGCCTCCCGCTGCCTGCATCTGGACCTGCTGCACAACGTTCTGCGCTCGCCTATGAGCTTCTTTGAGCGCACGCCCAGCGGGAACCTGGTGAATCGCTTCTCTAAGGAGCTGGACACAGTGGACTCCATGATCCCCCAGGTCATCAAGATGTTCATGGGTTCGCTCTTCAACGTCATTGGCGCTGTTATCATCATCCTGCTGGCCACGCCCATCGCCGCTGTCATCATCCCACCCCTGGGCCTCATCTACTTCTTCGTGCAGGTGAGCTGTGGGCTCTGCCCCCTGCTTCGCACTGGCGCTGCTCCCTGCTCTCCACTGGTCCTGCTTCCCATCGGCCCGGTACCCCCCACCCCGGCCCTGCTCCCCATTGGCCCTGCTTCCCATCGGCCCGGTACCCCCAACCCCCGCCCTGCTCCCCACTGGCCCTACTTCCCATTGGCCCAGTACCCCCTACCCCTGCCCTGCTCCCCACTGGTCCTGCTTCCCATCGGCCTGGTACCCCCATCCCCACCCTGCTCCCCACTGGTCCTGCTTCTCATTGACCCTGTTCCCACCAGCCCTGCTCCCAACTGGCCCTGCTCCAGAGCCTTTATGGCTCCTTGTCTGCCTTGTCCCTTGGGGGCCAGTGATGACTGACTGCCGAGCTTAGCTCTGCCCTTGTCTGTTCTGAATGCCTAAGTGGACTGCTCTGAGTTTGTAATAGTCAAATGGACTTTCTTTCTGATTAATTTTGCTTTTCTGAGCTGTAAATTAGAAACAAAAACCAAAAAAATCACCAAACTCTTATAGCTATAAAGAGGTAAAAGACAGCAGGATAGATGTTCATAATAGAAAGACAACGGTTCATAAAACCTCATTAACAGAGCACACATGACACTCTGTGCCACTGAGGGCCGGTGTGGCAGCCACGTGAGTAGGTAAAACCCCAAGTTGTCACTTCTCGTTAATTTTGTTTTGCCATCTTTATGTGAGTCTTCATTAAA